TAGTTAGTTAGTTAGTTAGTTAGTTAGTAGTTAGTTAGTTAGTTAGTTAGTTAGTAGTTAGTTAGTTAGTTAGTTAGTTAGTTAGTTAGTTAGTTAGTTAGTTAGTTAGTTAGTTAGTTAGTTAGTTAGTTAGTTAGTTAGTTAGTTAGTTAGTTAGTTAGTTAGTTAGTTAGTTAGTTAGTTAGTTAGTTAGTTAGTTAGTTAGTTAGTTAGTTAGTTAGTTAGTTAGTTAGTTAGTTAGTTAGTTAGTTAGTTAGTTAGTTAGTTAGTTAGTAGTTAGTTAGTAGTTAGTTAGTTAGTTAGTTAGTTAGTTAGTTAGTTAGTTAGTTAGTTAGTTAGTTAGTTAGTTAGTTAGTTAGTTAGTTAGTTAGTTAGTTAGTTAGTTAGTTAGTTAGTTAGTTAGTTAGTTAGTTAGTTAGTTAGTTAGTTAGTTAGTTAGTTAGTTAGTTAGTTAGTTAGTTAGTTAGTTAGTTAGTAGTTAGTTAGTTAGTTAGTTAGTTAGTTAGTTAGTTAGTTAGTTAGTTAGTTAGTTAGTTAGTTAGTAGTTAGTTAGTTAGTTAGTTAGTTAGTAGTTAGTTAGTTAGTTAGTTAGTTAGTTAGTTAGTTAGTTAGTTAGTTAGTTAGTTAGTTAGTTAGTTAGTTAGTTAGTTAGTTAGTTAGTTAGTTAGTTAGTTAGTTAGTTAGTTAGTTAGTTAGTTAGTTAGTTAGTTAGTTAGTTAGTTAGTTAGTTAGTTAGTTAGTTAGTTAGTTAGTTAGTTAGTTAGTTAGTTAGTTAGTTAGTTAGTTAGTTAGTTAGTTAGTTAGTTAGTTAGTTAGTTAGTTAGTTAGTTAGTTAGTTAGTTAGTTAGTTAGTAGTTAGTTAGTTAGTTAGTTAGTAGTTAGTTAGTTAGTAGTTAGTTAGTTAGTTAGTTAGTTAGTTAGTTAGTTAGTTAGTTAGTTAGTTAGTTAGTTAGTTAGTTAGTTAGTTAGTTAGTTAGTTAGTTAGTTAGTTAGTTAGTTAGTTAGTTAGTTAGTTAGTTAGTTAGTTAGTTAGTTAGTTAGTTAGTTAGTTAGTTAGTTAGTTAGTTAGTTAGTTAGTTAATTTGAACGGAGGATGTATATATAGATCAAATCCGAAGAAATATAACTAGGCCTCTATCGGAACTGTTGCACTCTTCTTAACCAGTGTCTCACGTAGGAATCGAACGCAGCACCTCCGGTCTACCAGACTAGAACACTAACCACTAACCTACCGTTGAAACTCTTCAAACAATTCTTCAGCTGTCAAGAGTCAATTTTTTAGCATAAAACAAATATGCAACCACAAATCTCTGTAGGGTACTTTTTCACAACACAATTGTGTTGGTTGTTTAAAATTTTTCTTCATTTACCTAAAACTTTGGCATGTAGTTTGTCTCTTTAAGATTTCTTTAAACATTTCAATAATATAATTATAACTCTTTTTTAAAACTTTTAACTAAAATTTACTTTTTCCATTTTTAGTCAAATAAAACAAAGTATACAGAAAAATTAACAACATGGCGTGATTGAATAGTAAATATTTTGTGTTTTTGTAACTTTTAGTTAAACTGGTTTAAAATCGATCAGACGGACTTATTTCCTTTGCCAAAAGTCTACATAATTATTTTAGGCATTCAGTACCTTTGTTGTGTTAAAACTTTTTCTAAAACGACAATGTTTACGTATATGATTTTTGATTCTTTTTTTTTTTTTTTTTTTTTTTTTTTTTTTGTTTTGAATTAAATATTTAGGAATTAATTTTTTTTGCTAATAAAATTTCAAGTATTTTTAAGTTTTGCAAATTTATGCAGATGAGATTTTAAGACAGACTTTGGATTAACAATCAAAAAATATTCATATTTCAACAGTTAGCAAAAAGCAGTGTTATGTTTAAATACACTGGAGAACAAAGATTTTATAGAATGATAGATTTTTAAAATTGATTACTAACTTGTAAAAGTTGTTAAACACTGTAAATGCAATATATTATAGATGTATAATTAATTTTTATATTTTCAATTCTTTAATTACAATATTGAGAATTTTTAATTAGATAGACTGTAAAACAACCAGACATCTGAAATTGCGTGTTTATAGCAACATGACAACAAAAATTTTCAATTTGGTATTTTAAGCCAGAAGCTTAAGCTTCAACTTGTTTAAAGTGAACAACTTATACATATCAATCTTAAAACGTGAGATTTAGCCATGACATTTTAAAAGAATTTTTTTCGTCAATATAAACCTAAAAAAAGCAATCTATATTTGAAAGAAAAATTAAAAGTTTAACAAAAATTTTAACAAAATAATGAAATTTTTATAAAAAAACTGATTCTAGAATATATTTCTTAAAAGTTGATTTGATTGACAATAAAATCTAATATAAACTACTCTGAGTCAGTATATACTTGTTCAAAATTCTCTGATAAGAAATCTACTGATTATGAAAATTTTCATACATTGAAATAAGAAATTTTAGCTATATGGTGAAATTAAGTAAAACAAAGCTAGAAGTATAATATTTAACTTTAATATATTTAAATATATTCATATTGTACAATATATCAAACTAAAGCCTTCTGTACCTTAATTGGGATTTAAGACCATAAACGAAATTTTAGCAGATAAAAATATTCATATACATGTTTTTTTTTTGGTTGCTAAAATTAGCAAAATGAAATGGCTTTCACGTTTAAACTTGACACATTTAATAAATGTCTCCGAAATTAAACACAGATAAATAAAGGGGGCGGGTCTCTTATTAAACCCCTTTTGCATCATATAGAACATACTTATATTTTATGTTGAAAAGTTATGATTATATAATATATAATAAAACGTATAATTTGAAATATAATTGCTGTCACTAGTTTTATCTAAAAATAATGGTAGCACTACTATATTACGTTACCAAGCACAATCTGACACCTATTTACTGTACCCAATCATAAAGTTGGCAGGTGTGTTTTTGTTAGTCATACTATCAAAGAGGTTGCCTTGATTTTTATATTTCAAGCGATCAAGTTGCAAAATGTATATTAAAAGTTATAAAGTTACTTTGCGGGGAGTATGTTGTAATGTCCTATGTTATAATGTCCATGGACATTATGACTCGTCAAAAAATTTCACAGTTTCCATGGACGCTGTGAAATTTTTCGACGTTTCGTACAGTTTAGTTATCTATAGAAAATGAATTTTTAGGAAAATACTATTTCGAAGAGCTTTTTAGTAGAAAAATTAATAAAATAATTTCTGAACGACAAAAGTGAGTGTTTGCTTTTCAATGAAAAATAAGCTTTGAAATCAAAAAGAGCTTTTTGATGAATAGTAGCTTTTGGATGGAAAAAGACCTTTTTAATGGAGAACAGCTTTTTAAAGAAAGAAGCTTTTTAAAGAAATAATTAAAACTTTCCTGTGGAAATAAGCTTTTTAACAGGTTTTTGATATGTTTGGTTTTCAATGAAGAATAAGATATGAAATAAAAAAGAGCTTTTTGATGAATAGGAGAACAGCATTTTAAAGAAAAAGGCTTTTTAAAGAAAAATTGGCATGTTTGGTTTTCAATGAAAAATAAGCTTTTAAACAAAAAAAAAAGGTTTTTTATGAATAGGAGCTTTTGAATGGAGAAATACCTTTTTAATGGAAAACATCTTTTAAAGAAAAAACTTTTTAAAGGTTAATAAACTTTTGAACAAAAAAAACATGAAAACTTAGTTGTGGAAAAAAGCTTTTTAATAGCTTTTTGATATGCTTGGTTTTCAATGAAAAATAAGTTTTGAAATAAAAAGAGCTTAAATACCTTTTTAATAGAGAGCAGCATTTTAATGAAAACTGCTTTTTAAAGAAGAAAACTTTTTATAGATTAATAAACTTTTAAATAAAAAATTGAAAACTTTTCTTGTGGAAAAACAGCTTGTTAACATCTTTTTGATATGTTTGGTTTTCAATGAAAAGTAAGCTTTGAAGCAAAAAAGAGCTTTTTGATGAATAGGAACTTTTGAATGGAAAAAGACCTTTTTAATGGAGAACAGCATCTTAAAGAAAGAAGCTTTTTAAAGAAGAAAGCTTTTTATAGATTATTAAGCTTTTGCGTAAAAGAAATTGAAAACAAAACAGCTTGTTAATATCTTTTTGATATGTTTGGTTTTCAATGAAAAGTAAGCTTTGAAGCAAAAAAGAGCTTTTTGATGAAGAGGAACTTTTGAATGGAAAAAGACCTTTTTAATGGAGAACTGCATCTTAAAGAAAGAAGCTTTTTATAGATTATTAAGCTTTTGCATAAAAAATTAAAAGCTTTTTGTGGAAAAAAGCTTTTTAATAGCTTTTTGATGTGATTTATTGATAAAACTCTTTTTTTTAAGCATTTTGACAAAAAAAGGAGTTTTTTAATGAAACTTGTGACGAAAAGTTTGATTTTTCGCTAAACAATTTGTTGGTGCAAAATGAGCTTTTAAATTTGGTCTAAAATAAGCTTTAAGACGAAAAAAGCTTTTTGATGAAGATATAGCCTTTCGAAAAAAATAAAAATAGCTTTTTTGATGAATCAGAACTTCACCCCTCCATACTTACGAAATCACATTTTCTTATTGTCTCATTAAAAACAATTAATAGTTTTTAATTTAATTTTAAAGTTTATTATGTTTTTGTTTTAAGCCACATTTAATTGTTGTTCTAATTATTTAAGAATTTTTTAATATTTTTATTTATTTCTTGACTAAATTTACTAAAAAGTATTGTTATGAATTCCTTTGGGAATAAACTATTATCAAGTAGTTATAAAGTTTTATTTAATTTAATAAATAAAACATTTAAGGATTAATTGTTATTTATTTTATTCGCTAAATTAATTAAAACAAAAAAATTTTAAAAGTTTTTTTTTTTATAGAAAAATAATGAATTTTTATTTGTTTTCAGCAACATCACATATTTTTGGTAGGTTTACAGTGTATTTTATTTTTTGTAACTAATATTATTATTTATTTATTTTTAATTAATTAATTAGTTTTTATTAACTAGTGTATTTTTTAGTTGTTTCACATACTTAGAATGTTATTGAAAATGTACATATTGTAAATTAAATAAATTCGAGTTTTAGACAAAGATTTTTATTTGATTTTTGCATTTGCCAATTAAAGCAACTAATAACGTTTACAATTTTTTTTTTTCTAAATTTTTAAACTACTTGTGTTTTGTGGGTTTTTTTTTTTCATTAAAAATATTTAACATATTTGTCTTGTGGTACTTCTTGTACTTTTTGTCAATTTTATTTTTTTTATAATTGTTTTTTAAACAAAGCAAACTTAAAGTTTAGTTTTTTCTTTTAGGGTTTAGGTAAAAAAAGAACTTAAATAATTATAAAGCTTTTTGTGTTAATAATATTTCAGTTTTTTATTATTTGGTTTTAATGTTATAAATTAACAGCAAATTTTCTAGCATAAAAAATAACAGATTATAGATTTTGTTTTTTATGTTAAAATTTATAATTAAAATGTTTTTTATTTTTTGCTTTAAATGTCTAATGAAATACTGTTTTCTTATTTGTTGTTTGTAAATAAATAATTTTTTTTATTTATTTTTTTTGTTTGTTTTTTAGATATTTTTTCGGGTTAATTAAAACTAATGAGGTATTTCTCTTATTAATTTTATTTATTTTTTATTTTGTTGTTAACAATTAAATAAATAGATTTTTGTGTTATTTTATTTTATGTATTTTTTGCTGTTGTTTTTTGTTTAATTTTATAATTCTTTTAGCACGCAATCAATGAATTTAGTAAATTGACTTTAATTACTAGTAATTTTAGTTAAATTAAATTTGATTTTTTGTTGTTTTTATTTATTTTTTTATGTTAAAGTTTTCAATATGAAAACCGGGTTTGTTAGTAAACAAAATTATACTCATTTGGCTTGTTTAAGAAAAATTAAATTTTGTGCAAAATATTATAAAAAAAATTAAAAAAAAAACAAGACAAATAAATTTTGTTAAATTGAAAAGAATTTTAAATTATTTATAAATAGTTTGAAAGTGTTACAAAATTAGAAATTTTTAAAAACAAATTCTGTTTAGCACACGTTTCTAGTTACAATTACATTTTGGCTGGTAATCAGTTTATATTGTATTTTGTATGTTAAAAATGACTCAAGTAACTAAATTTTGTTTTTAATAAAATTACACAAAAATTATGTAAAAAGTTTTAATGATTTTTTAATTTTTAGTAAATTGAGAATGTTAATTAAAGCTTTTGATTTATTTCTTAAAAATTATTTAATCTTCAAAAAAATATAAACCACATTTTAAAATCATTTTAAGGTTTCAGATAGTTTAACTGAGTTTTATCAAATATAGGTTTTATGCAATTTAAAAAATGCTTTGTTTACACTTTTTTGTTGTTGGTGTCTATTTAAATAATAATATGGCTAGTGTAAACACTTTACTGTAGCTATTGATTTCAAATACTTCAAGTGTTTATTGTAAATTGTTTGAAAAAAATTTAAAGTTTTAAGGAATTAATTTTACAAGGTTTATGATTTTTATTTTACACTTTAGCAAATTAAATATTTGAAATAATTAAAACAAACAAAATTTTGTACACACACTCCCACAAGCAATTACAAAAAATCTAGTTTCCTTATAAAACAATCAGTATTGTTAATTTAAAAAAAATATATATATTAAACTAAATATTTACAAAATTGCCATAAAAAATGCCTTCAAGTTCTTGAACAGCCCCAAAATTCTATAAAAAATCTTAAGTGTTAAGAAAAATCTAAACTATAAAAATTTATTTTAAAAGGTATTTAATTTGTTTTCTTGTTAAGTTTACAACAAATTGGCCTTTAGTTTTACCTGACACTGTTAATAACTTGTACATGTTTAATTAAAAAAAAATCAAATTTAATAACAAAAAAAAAAAAAACTTTTAACATGATAAATATATGTACATAAGTGTAAGTATATTTTGTGTAAATTTGTGTAACAAAAAATTTCATTTAAAAAAAAATTACTAGTGGTCTGCTGGCACACATTTATATTGAAGAAATTAATATGTTTGAACAGCCAAATGGTTTAACTACAAAATTTTCATAAAAACTTTAATACAAACAATTTCTAGCTTTCTTTAAATCTTTAACAAGTTATAAAATAAAAAAAAAATTCTTATAAATCAAATCATTTAAAATAAAGTTAACCACTTTTGCCCCTCAATTACACCAAATAGTTCATATGTTGTATAAGTGTTTGTGTAAGAGTGTGTGTATTCAATATTATTATGTATTACAACAAGTGCTTAACATATGTTTTTTTGTTATTAATTTTTTCGTTATTATTCATCTTTTGTTTATATTTTCAATAATAAATTTATTCATTTATTTTGTTTAAAATGTTTTTTGTTTCAAGCTGAAAAAATCCCTTGAATTATTTTCATCTTTTTAGGTACTTGAGTTGTAAATTGAGAAAAAAATACACAAAATATTTATATGATGACTATAAATCTTTAAAAAATTTATGTTTTTTTGTTATTATTTATTTGGTTTAGATTTTTAAGTTGAAAATATGTATTTTATACACAAATTTCCATTTATTTAAATATCAATCAGCTCTATTCTAGAAAACCCCAATTAGCTTAATATTGATTTTAAATAGAATTCTAATATAAATATGTAACTATGTCATGGTTTAAAAAATACCTAAAATCCAATAACAAACAATTTGTTAAGTAAATAAGTTTAAACACTACCAGCCAAATAACTGAGTGTTAAAAAAGCATACTGGAGTTAAAATAAATAAAGAATTTATAATTAGGCATATTAACTTTTAATAAACAAAACAAAAGTTCAACATCTAATTGGAATGATGAGATTTTTTTTAAACCACAACAGTACAACTAATTCAAATAATTATTTTAGAATAGAGCTGATTAATTTTGTTCAGTTTAATATTTTTATGAAATTTAAAAAAAAATGTCTTTGTTCTCATTTCTTAATTATATAACTATTGGATTAATTTAACCTCAAATACTATTTCAATTATTTGCACAAAATTATAAACAATAAAAATGTTATACATAAATGTACATACAAATCTAAATAATAATCAATAATTAAAATAAACAAATTATCTGACTGACTGACTTGTTCAATCTTATCATTTTGAAAACTCTCTAGTCTACTAAGAGGACTTTTGAAATTAATCATGTCATTATAAAATATATATTTTTTTCTATTTCAAATCATTTGAGATTCCTATCACTTTTAATTCAATTATTTCAATATTTTATTTTAATTATTTCTTTCTTTTTTTTTTTGTTTGATTGATTCATTTAGAAAAATAAAATGAAAACCTTGACTTTCCTGCGCTTATCATCGTTTCTTTTCTCTCTGTTTGTAGTTTTTAAAACTGTCTTGTACTTTAACATTTCTTACAAATTGTTTCATTTTTCTAGTTTTTGTTTCTTTGTTTGATTTAGTTTGGTTTTAAGTTAAAAACTGACCTTTTAATACCTAAAAAATAGTTTTAAAAAACATATATATACATATACTAAGTATAAATATTTGAGAGAACTTACTTTATGAAACTTACTATTACTTAAGAAAAAGTAAAAAAAAAAAATAAAAAGAACTTAAATTTAAACTTCCGTTGGTTCAGCATCTAAAGTGCCCTGAGCACATGACTGTGCTGCTGCACAACTAAGATTCTTGGAACTTTTAAATAATAATTTATACAATTTATGTTTTACTGGTAACTTTGGAGTGTTGTTGTTAATGCTGCTGCTGTTGTGACAGCCAATGCTGCCACCGCCACAGATACTGCCACCATTGCCATTTAGCGGCACTTGTTCAATTATCGTAATGCCTCTTTGCAACACCGGACGTGGCTTTTTATTTGTAGGTTGGTTGCATTTCAGTTCGTCGGCCTCCACTAAAGTTTGCTGCTGCTTGTTGAGGCTGAAGTTGATGATGGTACTGCAACTGCTGTTCGGCCTCAGAGGCATTTGCGGGCAAGTGTTATTGTTGTTGTTGTTCATAAAGCAGGCGGGCACTGAATTGGTACCATTGCTGACCACCGAACTTTGCGGTGTTAGGTATTTGGCCGATGTGGTAGAGTAAGTAGAAACTCGACTGCTGTTTCTTTTGAGATTCGAGTTGCCATATTTGGAACCACTCATGCGACAGCTGGAACTGTTTTGTCTTTGTAGTTGCGAGTCTCGACAGAGAGCATCTAAGCCCACCAGTCTTTTCACTCCTCTCCTTACTCTTTTGTTGCGATAAGCAAAGATGAAGGGAGAACTAAGATTAGCCAACAGTATCATGAAAATGGCTAACTGACTGGATTCCTCGAAATTGGCTGCCGGTACACGACTCTGCAGTAATACTAAAAAGCCAAAAGGCAAGTAGGAAACCAGGAACATTATTACCACCAAAATGCTGATACGAGCCGCTCTGGACTCATCCCTATATTTAAAGAGAGACGATGCATTCGATAGTCGATGACGCAAAGAAGACATGTAGCTCAAGGCCTTGGGTGAGGCATGAATGGTGGGTATTTGCAGCGACTGATGATGATGCAGATGTTGATGATTTTGATGGGTGGTTCTGGTGTTATTAGGATTTTGTTGAAATGAATGTCTATTCAAATGAATACTGGGTAGATTTTGTGGCAGATGTCCTCCTAAGAGATGGGGTGAGCAAGTGTTCTCATTTAAGGGTTGTGGCAGAGTAACACTTCGTTGAAGATTTGGCGAAGAGTGGACTTGACGTATACCCTGCAGTCTAGTATTATCACACAGATCCTGCGAGGATGTAGCCAATAGTTCTAGTTGGCGGGTGGAATAGTTGCGTTTTATCTCACCACTGGCTGTTTGCAGGGTGAGTATAATGTTTTGTTGTTGCTGCTGTTGAGTATTAGCAGTTTCGGCTACCGGTATCACAATGAGCTGATCATTTGTACTGCAATTATCAGCCTCATCGGACATACCGTCATCCGAAATGGGCGGCAAAAGTACTTTTGCCGCCGAGTCCCGTCTCAGACAGGCGGGTGAGCCTCGTTTTTGATTATTATCGATTTGCATTTGTAAACCTCCACACTGGGAGGAGGTCGAAGAAATCGAATTCCTATGTACACATAAACTATTCGAATACTGTTGATTGGCCGCTGGTGGACCATGCGTTAGATTCAAAGCACTTTGTAGCAAAGGGGATGAACCGTTTTGACGCATTCTCAGACCATTTTCACGAGCCTCACTAAAAATACGCCAATACATGCCGCACACAAAGCCAAATGGCAGCAGGATGATGAGCAGGAAATACAGACAGGAAAACACCATGCTAAAGATGTTGTTCACCGAGTTGAGTGTGAAGAAGGTGGTGGAGGTGTCGGCAAAACGTTTCTGTTTGCTGATGATGGTCTCCGATTCGAAATCAATTTCCCGGAAGGCCGACAAAGCACCAAACAATATGCCCATAGCCCAGGTAATGGCTATTAGCACCCAAGACTTAACTCCTGATATGCGACTGTGATAACGCAAGGGGTCTGTTACGGCACACCAGGTATCACCCACTACCAAGAGCACACCCATGGCTCCCAATGCAGCAGCCATATCTATGGCCCAGGATCTCATTGTAAGCAAGGGTAATGCTAGACGTTTAACTTCATCTGTGTCCTCCTGTTGCATGCCAATTGGCAGCTGAATTTTGCCTTCCTCCTCAATTTCTGTGATGACCAAAGTTTCACTATTCTCATCGATGGTCAATTCGCGACAGTAGGTGGTATTACACTTGTAAATGGTCTCAATGGTACGTGGACCATTCTCACCATCGTGGGATACATTACGTCGCAGAATGATACCCTCTTGCTCCACCAATTTGCCATTGTGGCGAATTGTCATTTGGTGATTGCCAGCCTTTGAATAAAACTCAATGCTGTCATCGTTTGTGTTGGTTGTTAAAAAACTCAAACCAGACTGGCTGGAACCGGTTGTAAGACTGCTGTCGTTAGTACCGCTTTCGCTGTCGCCATCGCCAACAATGCCACCACTTAGAAACAAAGTGGGAGCTAAAATAAGACAACCAACCAAATTAATGATGAGCAGATTAATAGTAAAACGATTTGCTGTGGTTCGCAGACCGGGTGTCACCCAAAAAGCAGCCAAAGCCAAGAAATTTATTATAAACGATAGCAAAAGCACGGCAAATATCAAAAAGTCTATTGCCATTATTAAGCATAATACTTGTGGTGAGTTGAAAATCGACAGCGCGTGTTCACTTTAAGACTCATTTAAAAACACAATAAAAAAATCAATTTTTATTATTTTTTTTAATTCTATTAATACATTTATGTTAAGCTGGTTTATAGTTTTGTTTATAGTGTTTCGACTTGTTTTTAGCACAATTTCAACTTCACTTTGCAGTTTCTTTAGAATGTTTATACTTTAGACTTTTTTGGTTTGTTGGGTAGTTGGATGGAAGTTTGTTTTTATTATATTTTTTTCACAGTTTGTTTTGGTTTGAATTTTCTCTATTTATACTTGAGTTGTAAAGTTTCTTTTACAGATCTTTTTCTGTTTTTTGCTTTTTTTTTGTATTATGGTTGTGTGTATTTATGAAATTCTTTGTTAGAAAATTGGACACAGTATGTCTTTATTACTGTTTTCACTTGTTTGGTTTTGTTTTTATTTTTATTTTGAAAAAACTTTAATTAAACACTTTTCTGTTCAATTATTTATTTATATTTGTTAACAAAATATTTATTTTTTTTAACACATTTGTTTTATATCATCGTCATGAATCTCATTTAAACGCTTAATTCTTTTTTTCTGTTTCTTTTCGGATTTTTTGTTTTTAAATACGGAACGCGTATTCTGGTTTTTCAACTTGATTTGGTTTTTTTCAGATAAATTTCAATATTTTATGATATTTTTGTTTTTAAAATACAAAATATACATTTTTTTCTTTCTTTTTATTTTAGTAATATTGAATAATTTTTGTAAATCAATTTAAGAAAAATTAAATAACTAAAGTTTATATGTATTTTTCTTATTTATGATTTCAGATGTTGCACTTTGTTTTTAAATTTGTTTTCCATATTTTGTTATTGTATGAAGAAGGTGTTAATAATTTTTGGTTTTAAAAGCATTTACAACGCGCCAATTCGTTTGAATTTTTCTGAAAATACGTTCTATACTCTTAAGCGTTTCAAGCACAACTGATCGTTGAGCATTTGCAAATGGCTTTTTGAGTACACGACTCGTATATAAAGCCAATTTACAAAGCACGCGAATAACAACAACTATTTTAACGAGTATCTGTGAATGTGCGTTATGAGTGTGTGTATGTGTGAGATGATGTGGATATGTTTTCAGAAAAGCTCTCCTATTTAACGGCCTTTAGTTGTGGTATTGCGGACTGAGATTTTGTTTTGGTTTACGAACGATTTTGTTCGGTTGTTTGCTTGTTTGTTTCTTTTATGATTTTGCGGTTTTTTTTAATTATAATTCTGTTCATGAGCTAAAAGAGAGCGTTGAGGCCTTAAACAACCTCAATAATAACATACCAAATGAACAGTCGTCTCTTTTTGCAACAAATTCCCACGATCGTTCTAAGTGGAAACAACAATAAAAAAATAAAAGCGGCGACAGAACAAGAAGATGTCGATGAACAAACAACCAGACAATAAAAAACTGATTTTTTTTATAAAGCCATTAAATTCGATTAAGATGATATAATTCAATGTAAAAATTACACATTTAAAAATTCTCCCTCTCAATGCCTCTTTCTCTTGTGGTTTAAACTTAATTATGTTACTCTTTTGAATTTTTCCTACTCTTTAGACCAGTGATATTTAGAGTATGTAGCAACAATTTAAATTTTATTATTGTTGCGAGTTTTTTTTTGATTTTATATTTATCAGTGATTTTAAATAGATTTAGTTTAGTTGTTGTTGGTTTGCTGTTGATTTTTTTATGTGTAAATTTTGGTTCCGCTTTGTTTTTTGTTCATTCGTTTGTTTGTTTGTTTGGCAAGTTAAGCACAATTTAGTGGATTGTACTGTTCAGTGTGGCGTTTGATGCGTATGATATACAAGTAGTTTCCAACGTCATTATCATCATAATTATTATTATAAACATCATTATTATTAAGTTTATTTTGTATTTATTTCAATTTTGTTCTGTTGTCAGCTTTAGTTTATCATGTCTAGACATACATATGCATGCATTTGGCTCTTTCGGCTTTGTTTTTGAATTTTTTTCCCTCAATATTAAAAACAAAATATTTTTTTATCTGAAAATAGATATAAGAGTAAAGAAAAACAATTAGTTTACTTATAAATTCATAAATATAAAAACAATAAATATTTGTACTAATAAACATAAATATTAAGTGATTTAGTGAAAGCATATCATTTCAAAAATGACAGCTCTAAATTGAATAGGAATATTCTCAGCTTAAGTTGGTCTAATTCCATGAAATTGATTTTTAATAAATTATTTTACTTTTATGAAAATTTTTTTATTAAAAGTAGATATAGATATTAAATGAAAAGAAACTCAAAAACTTAAGATATTTAATGAGGGGTATTAAATATCTTAAGTTGGGGCAACTTTCAATTTTGCTCAACTATCCTTTCAATTTTATTATTTTAATTTCTTAAAATTTTCTGCAAAAATCTTTTCTTTCTATTAACAGTCCGTTAAAAAAAAATTACAATCATTTAAACAACCACATTAGCTACTCCACCTAAATTTACACTTGATTAACGATCTACGTTAAAGTAAAAAGTCATTTATTAATTTGCTTTGTTTCATTATCTCTCAACTAATAATAACAATTCTGTAATATACATACGATTAAATAAAATTTCCATTTAGTTGCCAACTACGTTAAGTTAACAATTGTTACAAATGTCTTTCTTTTGTATTAAGAAAACAATTGTTAACAATTAAAGGCCGAATCTTATATACCCTCGATCAATACGTTGTCATCAGGGTAATTGTCGTTAGAAGGCTTAGGTCAATTATGGACCGTAATCCGTAAAATTCAAAAAATGAATTCCCAAATCATGTTTAATCAACATGATTGTGGGGTGTAGAGTTATTTAAGATACGGCCCTTATAAAGTTTGGTAAAGACGTTTAGTTGTTTAAAAGTCGTTGATTTTTATCACTACTTCCTCTAAGGTCCCTATCAAGAACATGGCCAGAATCAAATAAGAAGACGACCAATATAATAATTCGAAGTGTAACAAACAGAATGACAAACTCAACATACCTCCCAAATTTTCTTGATGGTGCGTATAATTACCAATACAAATTATTTTATACTTTCAGAAACATTTCTTTTTCCGCCATGTCAAAATAACTCATTTCTAAAGTATGGAAATTTTTTTCTATATTCATGGAATTCTCATAAATAAATATTTTCTAGTTTAAAAATCATTTATCATTATTTTAAATTATGTACAATAATGTATACGTTATAATAATAGTAGTAAACAAGTACTTACTAAAGTATGAATCATTAGTTAAATACTTAAAAGATAATGGAAAAAATAACGGGAAATTTAAAAAATTCCCACAAACCTGACCCGTAGTTATCTACCGTTACATGTCTTTCAACACTTGTTATGATGCGCTTATCTTTACTTAACTGTTTGTTTTATACTTCTACTAAGACGGTAGAAAGAAGTAGAAAAAAAACTTCCACACTTCTAACTATTTTTTACATTGTTACAGATTTTCTTGGTAGAGGACATAGACACTTGAATACAAACAATTTCATACTAAAAACGGACGGACTATCGGCTGTGTTTATGATAACGACAAGGGTTAAATGTTTACCAAGTTTATGTCAATATTAATAAATTTTTAATGTATTTTAAGAAAAAAATTAAACACAATTTTATGTTTGCTTAATCCATTGTAGTAAAAATAGAAATTAATAAAAATAGATTAATTTCATTTTATATTTGTGCCAAAAAAAATTTCTAGAGAAATTCTAAGAAAAACTTTAAAGCATTGTTAATACATATATATATTTTTTTTTTCATTGTGTTCTGTTTATAAAACTGTGAATGTCCTTAATGTATTTGTAATATTTGTAACAGACATTAAAACTCATTATAAATGTTTAAGTTCTTTTAATATGACACTTTACGATTAAATGTCAGTAAGTATAATTTTCTTGAAAATAACTTGGTGTTAAAACAAAATTATGGAATAATATTAAGATAAAATTTAACAAACTTACAAATCCATATCGATTAAAGATACAATTATGATGAAGTGTTAAAAAATTTATGTAATTTCAAAGTGATTAACTTAATTTTCAAAGTTTATAAAAATTTTCTTCTGAATTATTCAATTTGTATCATTGGTTATCTACTGTAATGAATAACTTTAGATATAACCTTATTTAGCTCTAAAACTTGTGGTCAGTTTTTCTGTGTAAAATATGAATGCAAGCAGACAGACGATTGTTAGTAAGTTGACTTAGTTGACATTGACACTAAGTAACCCCGCTCCATAACTTACAAAACCTTTTGTTTTAACCTTCATTAGCATTTAATTTACACGATTTTAATTAAAGTTTTTTTTTTGTTTTACATTTAAATAATTACTAACTTTATCAATATTAAATATGTATTTTTTTTTGTAATAATAAATTTACATTTTGTAACAGAAACAAAAGCAGCAAGCAGCTACTTTGCTAAACAATATAAATAAAATAAAAGTAAATTTTTATAGAAAAATAAAAATCCATTATCACAACTTAAATGGGATAAAAAGTGATTAAAGCCACACAAAATGAGAAAAACAAATATATAAATAATAATAAATAAATGGTATCAAAAACATTTTACCACAAATACATACATATGTTACTACAGACAGATTTTCACGTCACAAACGAGGATTTACGAAAAGCGCACACACATGCACAAACATACGCACTGGTGTCATAAAACATAGATACTTTTTGCTATAAATACAAATAAAATATTTTATTTCACACTACCATTGAAATTGTTTACATTTAACAGTTGTTCCCATTTTTCTAAAATCAACAAATACATTAATGTAAACAACAACTAACTTACTGACTGTCTGACAATTGATTGTGTGGGAACTGACAGACGCAGTTACTGAATTAGCGTGACAGCAAAAGAGTACAAAGTTTAGTTTTAGGGTTTTCACCTGAAAAGTTAAATTTTGTTTAGAAGTTTGAGATAAAATAGGAGTAATAAAATCCCTTTCTGATATACATATACGGATTCCTAATAAGAAAGACTTATAGACTTACCCCCTTATTCACAAACAACATTTTTATTTTATAAAAGGTTTATAAAATAAAAATTTTGTTTGTGAAATTGTTTCAATGAATTAAGGAAAATTCAATTTTTAAAAAATATTTTCCTGAAGTCATCAAAACTATATAAAAAACTTTCATTACCATGTAAGGGGTTAAAATGCTAATCTTTACTCACATAATAACAATTTAAGTCAATATTTTAAGACCTTATTAGACGATATGTAGTAGTCACTGAAAAGTATGTTGTTAGGTAAGTAATAACAGTAGAAATCCATTACCTAGTTTTTGCTGGGAAATAATTATGGGTCACATGTTGACGAGGGGGCAATTATAATGGGTCCCCTACGTCGTTCTGTCTGTCTGTCTGTCTGTCTGTCCGTCTGTCTGTCTGTCTGTCCATGTGTTATATATTTGTAATCAACTTTCTGAAAACACCTGATGCCTTTTGGATCTATCTATATGACATACAACCCAGAATTTCACTTTTGAAAATATGTAAAATTTCGGATTAGTTTCATAAGCATGAAACAAATATGATTTCTATTTCAAATAGCTGTTAACCCTAATTAATACCACAAATACAAAACCTAAACCAGATGATGATAATGATAATGAAGTTACCTTCATAATGATAATAACCAATGATATTCATCATTATAAGGTTTATTTATTATAATTTAGTTCGGAAAACACACATCAATTTACATACAATTACAACTTCAATATTTATTATTTACTGATTTTGGAACAAACGTTAGAAAAGGGGTTCGGTGGAGACATGAAGGCGTATTATTATTATTATTGGAAGTGTAAATATTTATGACATGAATGACAATAACACTTGTCAAGCCATCGATCATACTTAAATGATACGGGCAACGAACGTACGGTTCTTTTTCATTCGTTTTGTTATTATAACATTTAAATACTCATTCATAACGATATTTAAATCAATAATATTTGGAAAAACAAAAGCAAAAAGCAACAACGAAAAAAAATAAACCAATTGTTAGAAAATAAAAGATTTATTTAAGGCACACGCTCTAGGAACGAGAAGACTCGGACAGTGTGAATTTTAAAAGTGTTAAAAAAAAATATATTGTTTTTCTAACAATTACTGCTCAACAGCTACAATGCACTCACTCAGCTAGCCAGCCAGACAGACTGTTGGGAAGTCAATGGAAATATGAATGTGTAGCTATGTATTTGAAATGAATTTGTTAAAACAAATATTGACACTCAAATGAGGGTTATCAGAAACAAACAATTTAAATGGTTTTATTGTTATTACAGGGAAAATTTTTCTATTTTTTTTTATAATAATTAATATTTAAATTTTTATGATATTTTTGTGTTCAGACGTTTGGGTTTGTATGTCAATAAATTTAAGACAAACAAATGAATGAATAAATGAATGTCTTTTCAACACATTGTGTGTGTGAGATGTGATAATGACAAGTAATTAAATTATGACATTTGAATTTATTTAAGTTTTATTTATCTCTGGCATGTTATTTTTATTATTATTTTATAATAATAAAGGGCGTTTTGTTTTTAAACAATTTAACCTGCTTTTGTTCTCTCTATTCCAGACAACTTACAAAAACTAGTAGTTAGTTGTAATAATAATTTCCATCACGAGTTTGGCACGCTTTATTTAAATTTACACAGGTAAATTTAAACAAAAGTTATAAAATAAACTAAAACACACTTTTCACTTTTTTCTATAAATTAATTAAGAAGAACCAAAGTTCAGCTAAATAAAAGTTGAAAAAACTTTAAAAACTAACAAACAAAAAAAAAAACTAGTTTTAGTCAGTTTATTTCAACAAAATACTCATCCATTCTGTCATATGTACTTGTTAAACTTATTATAAATGTCCGATTAAAATGTAATTAATCATTTTGTAGGGAAAATTATTATTTTTGCTTTATTTAATTATATTTATTACGATTTACTTTTGAAAAAAAAAA